TCTTTGAAGTTGGTTTTTCCTCATCCACAACAGGAAATAATTTCTTCACACTATCTTAACAGTCTCTCTCCACAACCAATTAAATTTCATTTATCATAGATTAAAAAAAACACACACACACTTTCTCTATGACTCCACTGGGATAAGTATTCCACATTTAAGTCATCTTTTCAAGGGACTGTTCACAGATTCTCATAGGTAATGGATAAAACATACACATTCTCCTTGATTTTATAAGGAGGGTATTTCACACCAAGCCATTTCTCAAGTGACTTTTAAACTGCAAGCACAAAATTGCTTTTTTACCTCAACATTTTAATTCCTAAAGGTACTATAACAGTATCTGTGGCTGTATAACATTTCAGTTTGTTTTTTTTTCCAGTCATGTTCAACTTTTCATAATATTATTAGAGGTTTTCATGGCAAAAATTCTTGAGTGGTTTGCCATTTCCTTCTCTCCAATTCATTTTGCAGATGAGGAACTGAGGCAAACAGGGTTAAGTGACTTGCCCAGGGTCACACAGTTAGTAAATGTCTGAGGCCAGATTTGAATTCAGGAAGATGAGTCTTTCTGACTCAAGGAGTGACACTCTATCCATTTCCCCACCTATGTGCCTTGTATGCTATGGAAATACAGACACACTAATATTCTGAAGCAGAATTGTAACTTGGAGCAACTATTCTGGAAAACCATAAAAATTAAATTAGCCACAGGATGCTCTACCTCTGCAGTCCCACCCAGAACTGTGAAGAAGTAATGAAGGAAAAGCACAGAGTACATACAGGATTCCTATCTTCCTGGAAAGGAAGGAACTGATTATATTAGCCTGAGATCCTCAACTTCTCCAACCCATTCAAGACTGCAGAGGATGCAGCGTTAGTCTAGAACTACAACAGAAAGCAGGACAATTGTAAGAGGGTCAGGGAACAGGGATTGTAAAATCCTCTAAAATTACTGTCCTCTGAGCCTAAGAGAGATTCCTAACTCAACACCTTCATATAGGACTAGGATCCTAGAGGGGAATAAGGCTCAGTTCATCAACCCAATCCAATAGGGAAGCAGAGGGGCAGATTCCAGAGAGCCCTGTGATCCCATCTCAACTACTCCAGCCAGTACCAATGAACTGTTCACCTCAGTATACCAGGCCAAGGAATGAAAAAACACAATGTAGCCATTAGCAGTTCTCCACCGTAAAACCAGAGTAACTCTACAGCTAAATGAAGTTCAAAAGAAAGGGGAGACTTTCACTAGCCTTCACTAATGGAAAGCTTAACAAAGATGTAAGTAAACGGAAGAAAACTTCCAATACAATGAAGAAATACTATGAAACCCAAGATAAATTTCAGAAGTAATTTTGCAGTAATTCCAAGTAGAAACCCAGAAAGAAAAAAAATGATGGATTGCTCACAAAGAATCTAAGAGTGGAAGGAAGAAGTGAAGGAAGAGCTAGAGAGATAATCAAATTAGAGTTTTTATAGAAAATTAGGAAAAAACAAACAACTGAGTACAGAAGGTGGAAAATCTTGTCTAAGTAGTAGACATCCTGAAAGATATGGAGCACAGCTACAAAATTCAAGTTCCTGATAAGGAATATTAGAACAAAATCAAAAGACTAAAAATCAGAAGAAAGGAAACTAGCATTTATTAAGTACTTCCTACGTGCTAGACACTACATGAAGCATTTTACAAATATCATCTCATTTGATCCTTACAACAACGCTGGTAGGTAGGTTCTATTTTACAGCTGATGAAACTAAGTCAGACAGAGTAGAGTGACCTGCCCAGTTCAAAAAGCCAGTCAGTGTCTGAGGCTGGTTGGGTTTCAGGTCTTTCCTGTCTGCACTCTACCTCAAGTATTCAGAGGCACCACCTACTTGCCTCTGAATACATGAGGTAGCTACCAAAAACAAATGACCTGGGAAAGAGAATAAGGAAAAGACTGAAGAATCATTAGGCTTCTTGAAAAACATGATAAAACAAAATACATTTTTAAAAAATCATAAAAAAACTGCCTGAAAACCAAAGAAGATGAAAAAATGATACAGTCCAAGAGTTATCACCTAAAAAAACCTCTTTACATAATATACGCATAAACACAATGGCATATTCCAGAGCTTTCAGGTTGAAGAGAATAATACAAGATCCCACTGTACTTAAGTGGGATCTTGACAATCTGACAAGATACATACAGCCTTACAAACTGCTGGCACTGTCAAATGATGACATTAACATCACACAAAATTCCTTGAAAGATGCAAGATGGATAAGATTGTTCAAGAACCATCAGTGACCTATTATTACCACCTAAGGTATTTGCCACAATCATAGAGGATGTCCAAGTAAGAAATGAAACAGAAGGTGAATTTTCCTCTGTTCAAGTACTCCTATTTATATATGCCATTGTGATTAAATCAAGCCCTAGAATACTACACAGCCCGCTGAGATCTCTAATCACTCAAATAGCTGATTGTAACCATCCACAAAGGAAGGAGGAAAGAAAAGGAGGAAGGAGAGGAAGGAAAGGAAGGAAGGAAGGAAGGATGGATTTCTATTGTCCAGATGATGGCATGCAGATAAATTGAGTAAAATCACCCAAATGAGATCCAAAAGCAGAATGATTTTTTCCCCATTCACAGCAATATTGAGTTGGTGATACTCATGTTTAAAGCTATTAACAACACTATCATTAAAACTGTTCACCAAGATAAGAGGAAAAATAGAAGAAATTTCCCAAGGAAGCCATTTAATGGTATTTAGTACTTACAATTCTGCTTCCAGTTGTGTCTGGGGCAGTGTGTGAGGCACAGCACAATTTATTCATGAAAAGTCTTAGGGGTGGGAGGTGGGGGTGAAAAGGAACAAGAAAACCAGAGACACATCGCATCTATTATCATAAAGAGATTTTCTTTATTTAAAACACAAAACACTAAAAAAAAAAAAAAACCCAACCCTTCTGATGTTTAAAAAAAAAAAGACAGGACAGTGTTTTTGTTTTTGTTTTTTTCCTGGCTGTTAACAGTAAGTCAGTCAACTAAGTGCTGGTAATATAAATACAAACAGAAAAAACACTCTCCCTTCTAAAGAAGCTTACACTATAAAGGGAAAGATAACACATAAAAGTAAGCTAAAGGGACAGGGAGAGAAGGAAAAGGAAAGAGACTGAGATAGAGACAGAGAATGAATGAAAATGTAGAGAAAGTCCAGGAGAGCAGCCTGCAGAGTAATGAAATGTGGCCCTTTCAATGTGTGTGCATTCCAGAGCTGGAGTAAAGCTTCAGGATGAAGAGCTGTGGCATGAAAGAGAAATTCCAGTGTTGCCTAGAGAGGAAAAGCCCACATTCAAACCATTTGGTCAAAAATATTACTCCACACACTTCTTCAGTTATTTCTACAGGTTGGACATTCTTTCAGTTTGTCAGTTGTTAAGTAACCCTAGGATCGGAGCACCAGCATTTAAATACCACACCGACACTTCCCTACTTACTAGGAACCACAAAGTTTTAATTGGCCAAATTCACCAACACTACAACCACTCACCTCTTCCCTAGCTCTGGTTTGCCTTTTATAGTGGAGTCATGTAAGTCCCAGCTGTTTCTAATTACCTCTCAGGCTCTTCCTGGGTGAATGACTCAGCAACCTGACTTTAAAGGAGCCAAACTATTTTCTAACACAATCTACTGGTTAACCGATATTGACTTATTAAATACGGGTGGGTGTTGTTTTTTTGTTTTTTTTTAAGCGACTTCACAGGATAACAGAATTGGAAAGGAAACTGAGGCCCCAAAAGAGTTAAATGGTTTGTCCAAGGTCACAAAGAAAGGAAGTGGCAGAGCCGTTCTTTAAACTCAATTCCTCTTTCTCCAAAGTCAGCACACTTCCCACTGCACCAAGCTGAAAGATGATTTGTTCACAATACTTTCCTACTCCAAGCTTCTTTTTTTTAAAAAAACAATCCTCTAGATTGCTTCTAAACAAGCTGTACTTCATTGACCGAAGGAAATCCTACTCCTGTTTTTCTAACACCGGTCAGTCAACAAGCATTTAACATCAATCTGATAAGATGAAATATTTTGCCACCAATATGTTCCTACATTTGCAGTTTATAGCTTTTAGTTATTCAAAACCTAAGAGCCTCTATGATTTAGGAGTGTTATATTACAAATTGCATAATCACTATTATCATAAAGAGATTAATTTCTTTATTTAAAACACAAAACCAGATAAATTTATAATGGCAAACAGTTCGAATACTGGCATTAACACTCCAAAAAGAACCTAGTGCCTATACAACATTTTCTTTTTAAATCATATGCTTTCTGGTGACATTTTTCACAGCTTCCACAATTACTATTTCATTCCCTTAGCTCTGTCCAAACTTGAATTTTTCTTCAAGAGAAAGAAACAATTAGAACTACAATATTCATTAAGCATTTTATAACGCTGCATGCCAGAAGTGATTTTCAAAATGTTAATATTTGACATAGTTGATAGAGTGATTTATTTTTTTTACTACATATGAGTAAGTTCTAATGCATCCGAGTTTTCGGTTCCCGGAAAAAGAAGACCTTCAAATAAGCTGAAAGCAATATGTTTACGCTGTAACCACGAAGGTTTGTCATACCCAACTTAAATCTGAGGGGTGGGGTTCTTTTGAGGGTTGGGTGGTGAGGGGTTTCGAGGAGTCAAGAACTATGGATCCAAAGGGTGGCTGGCGGGAATATAAAGCAAATACTAAGCCATACGGCTTAGTATTACACGGGGGTAAAGTCTGCTGAGGTGTAACAGCTGCAACATGCCAACGGCCTGGGCACGGGAACACCCCCCCCAACACCAGACTGGGCTATGTGCAGAGAGCCCAGCGGGGGGTCGCCGTCCGCAGGGCGCCCCGGGCCCGGGCGCCTGCTCCTCCCCCGCCCCCACACCCTCCCACCTGCGGCCGCCCCTCCCCCAGGGCGCAGACCCGCAGCCTCCCGCCCGCCTCCTACCCCGCTCTACTCACCCCCGACAGCTACACGGCCCGGGGTGGGGGTGGGGGTCACTTCCCGCCGACCCACAGGGGACGCGGACACTTGGGAGACGGCGGCTGCTGACAATGTCAGAATCCCGAGCTCAGGACGAGCGCCCGAGCCCCAGCAGGAAAGCGATCAGGTGACCGTCCGCCTCTCGGTTCTTTCTCTCCTCTTTCCCCCACCCCCGCCTCTCACCGCCTCAGCTAGGCTCGTGGTCCCGCCCCCTTTCGTTCGCGCTGATGATTGGCCCCCGAGGCCCGTTGGAATACGTCAGTCCCGGCCCCTAGTTTCTCACCGCTCTGGAAAACGGGCTGGTGGAAAGAGGAGGAGGGGTGGAGTCCCGGGCTGGGAGTGGCCGGCCAGCTTGGGCCGTCCTCCCCCGGATCCCGTCCACCACGGGTGCAACCGGGACGTGCATACCCCTCTTCTTTCTATTGTGGTACTTACTTGAGCGTGAGGTGCTGTGTATAGTTGTATAAATAAGAAATGAAACACGAAATTAAATTACAAGAACAACACATTATTTTACGCCCCAACAAGGGAAAAAAGGGAGTAGGTGGAGGGGAACGAATGACCAACTCTCCTGATTCATCCTATTGTATCATTTGCTTAAAGTGAAAAAGGAACTGAAGTTGTTGAACAAAGCAATCAGAATCTCATGGATTTATACTCTTAAAAATTAAAGCTCAACATTTGGAACTGAGAAGTCTTGCAAAAGGCACTAATTGAATGATTTAGACTCTGTGTCCTTCTTGGCTGGTTTGAATAAGGAGGATATATGTATTTGCCAACATGTGACTTCAATATATGACTAGTGGAAGAGTAAAAATGATTATTTTCAAGGAAGAGGAAATGGGGAAAGACTGTCTTTGAATGAAACCTTCCCATTTTCTACTTAAGAAAAATTGCATTGGAGAAGGTAAAACTGATAAAATATTTAACGCTGAAATTACAATGTTATGAGGCTGCAAATCATGGAACACCACAATCTCGAAAGAATCAAAATTACTGGTAACCCAAAGGGCAATGGAATACAGCGCATTTATACAGTATTTTTTAGTTTGCTGAGGAAACAAGCTCAGAATGGTTAAATGACTTGTCCATGGTCTTATAGCTATTAAGGAGGAGAGGCAGAAATGAAACTTACATCTTCTGGACTCCAGGTTCAACACACTTTCCAACACACCATATTGCCTCTGAAAGATGTTTGGCTACCAACCAAAATGAACTAGTTCCAAAAATTGCTGCTTAGGGTGAATGAGATGAGGCTAAGTGATGACAAAGAGAAGGTAGAGCTGTTCACAATTTTTTGAATGATTCATGGATTAAAGGATAAAATAAAGTAGCTAATTGGGTGATGATATCCATGTAGATATTAAGAAAATTGTAAGGGAGCCCCTAGCTGCCCCTGATGAGTTGAAGTCCCATAGTCCACATAAACTATATCCTCAGACATTTCTTCCTCCAGTGGATTAAGGCAGACAGAGGTTAAATGACTTGCCCAGGGTCTCACAGCTAATATGTGTCCAAGGCCACATTTGAACTCAGGTCTTCCTGACTCTGGGACCAGCTCTCTATCCACTGAGCCACCTTGCTCGGGAGGACTAGTACCTCTGGCATGAGGGCTCGCAAAGCAGAATGGAAGGATAAAAACAGTTTGCTCCAAAGGCCATGAAGGTGGCTGAAGCAGGCACTGTGGCAGAGTTAGAGCTTGGTTAGATATTGAAGATGCCAAGGCCATCACCAGTCATCTTGACCTTGTCTTGCCACTACAATGACTCTGGAAGAGATAGTGAGGCTGACTGCCTCACTTAAATCCAATTCACCCACAAGTCAAGATATCACTCAAGGTGTCATTGGTCCTCTTCAAAAATGAAGGACAAACATCTGATTCAAACAGATGTGATTTCTACACTAGTTTAAATTTATTGTTGAACATGTTAGGAATACTGAAACTAGAACAAAAATTTCAGTGAAATCAATATGTGGCCTTTTTTAATATGCATATAGTACTACCAGGAATTTACCACAGGCTTTAAACCATACTTACTGATGTATGGGTGAGAGCCATGCCTATCCATTGTATTGTGCTTTGGTGTCTCAGAAAATGGGAAGAAGGATTTAAACATTCAAAACCAGCACATCTTGCAGCTTAGAAAATATATTGCCAAATATACTGTACTTGGAGGTAGCTAGGTGGCTCAGGGAATAGAGCACTGGACCTGGAGTCAGAAAGACCTGAATTCAAATCCAGCCTAAGATACTCTCTAGGTGTGTGACCCTGGGAAAGTCACTTAATCAGTTTGCCTTAATTCATTGGAAAAGGAAATGGTAAACCACTCCGGTATCTTTGCCAAGAAAACTCCATGGACAATATTGGTGTGCTATGGGTCCATGGGGTCACAAAGAGTTGAAAATGACTGAACAACCATACTGTTCCTGGTTTTACAAGAAACTAAAAAATTATTGGCCAATAGCAATGTAACCCATGTTTTACCACGCCCCCAATCTTGGGGAAAGAGAACTGACCTTCTTATGAGGACAGACTTTCCCAATTCACTCTGGATCTCAGTCATTGGACAACAATAGGTCCCAGACCTGCCCAAGCACCACTTAATGGTTATTTTTTGGGCCCTCCTGGCTCAGAGTGAATGTAAGTAATAACTGTTTCTCTTTAGGCCAGCAATCCTGAGAGTCTTCCCATTCCAGTTTGATTTTTTTTTTTGATTAAAGTGACCATCCCTTGATTCACTTCTTAAAGAGCTATATTCACTGGATGGGAATTGCCTCACTCAAAGTGAGAACTTGAAGACTTTAGCTTATGTGTGATTAAGGAAGAAAAATGTGGTTTGGATTCGCTCCTACAATATGACAAACTCCTAGAGAGATAAGTGAAGGTAGCTTTAATTAAGTTTATAATATAGGTGTAGAAAAGGTAGTTTTATAGCAGCATACAATTAGCAATATGACTATAGTCAGGTTAAGAATACAAAAGATAGCAGTAATATAAGAAAACATCACCAATCTAGGGAAGTACCAACGCCTCAAGTCCAAGCTGGGGATTCTTGGGGTACAGCTTTCAGAGTCCCGATTGGGAAAGTCCCAGGCAAAGCGTCCTCTCCATGGGTGAGAATCCAAAGATGGCTTTCCCAATTAGGATTTAAATAGGGCCTCTAACAAAGAAGGCCCGTGCCAGAGGTATCCATGGTTCTAGTAGATGTTTTTACTTGGTCCAGGGACTGGCCAAGTTCCTGGAGCAAGCAAAACATTTTAGAATATTAATTAACTTGATATGTCCTGATGAACTGGTCAGGTTCCCATAGCATATCTTTTGCTGAGAACTGGCTAAATTCTCAGGTCAACATAGATAACCACACTCTGGCTTATAGCCCAATGTTTAGAGTCGTACAGGGGACATGGAAAATCTTTCCAGATAAGATTTATCAATCAGCTTAAAAAGGTCAAGGTGTCCCACTGCTAACCTGGGCCATCACCAGTCATCCTGATTGATATCTGGCCACTGAACCCAGATGGCTCTGGAGGACAAAGTAAGGTTTGTGACTTTGCACAGCCCTCCCTCCCTCAAATCTAATTCAATTGCAAGTCATGTCATCCTCTCCCTGACGTCATGGTCCTCTTTGAGAACGAAGGACAAACCACAACCACACAACTCACGCCCAACCCTAACGCTGGTCTTGAGGTCGAAGGGGCTTACAGGAAGAAGAAGGAGGAAGTTATAGCAAGAAGAAAAATAGAACTGAAGAGCTGTGTGGAGCAGATATCCAAGAGGAAGCACCTGAAGTTTTTATCTGAACTTTTACCCTCCCTTTCCACACATGTAAAAACTATTGGCTAACAAACCCTAAGCTGTTTGTTGTATAAGATGATCTAAAAGGCTTCAGTCTATTAAAGCTGAAAATTGCACAAGGCTTTTGGAACACCCTGTATTTCTGCTAACATACTAATAAATAGAGAAGATCAGAGACAGAGACAGAGACAGAGAGACAGAAAAATAAGACATTTTGTTCAGCTAGATCCAAACTGTAGACAGCAAAATCAAGGCCAAAAAGCAAAGTGGAGGACTCAGTATTAAAATATCATAAGCACAGAGGTCTAAATAAAGATAATATTCCTGGACCTGTTTTCTCTCCCTTCTGAATTCAGAACTGCTCTAAGTTCTTGCCCTCTTGCCTAAACTGCCCAAGGCTCTGAAAGAAATTCACTCATAGAGCATAATACTATTGACTTTGAAAATCTAAATTTTTTCACTTAATAACAAACTCCCACCTGGTCATACCCTCCACATCTCAGTGATTCTGAACACCATCATGTAAACCCCATTTCCCAGCCCCCACTCTCCAGTTCTTTATTCCCATCCCCCTCAAACCATGCACCTCAAAGTCCCAACCAAACAATACACATCCCTTCCAATGTGCCCTCTATAATGTTTGACCCATAGACAATAAATTGCTTCATCTCAAATCTTTTCCTTTCTCATTCTTTCCATATTCTGGCTCTCACTGAGTCCTAGCTGTCTCCTGATGACACACCTTCCCAGACCCTGTGTCTTTCTAGTCCTAGTCATGTTTTCACTCATTCCCCTTGACTTACTGATGCAAGTGGAGGAGTTGAAATGCTCCTTGCTGCCCACTGCCACTTCTAGGTTCTCCCCCTACCACCATCACTTAGTAACCTCTCCTCCTTTGAGGTCCATACAATCCATATCTGCTACCCAATCACAATCCTGATAGCTGCTATCTATAGACCTCTGAGACACCTTCCTTCTTTAACGACTTCAGTACATGGCTCACAATCTTTTTTTTTTCTCCGAACTTCTGCCTAAATATTCAGGGACTTCAATATAGATTTTGATACTTCCTCAAACATCCTAACCTCTCTTTTCCTCAAGCTGTTCATTTTCCATTATCTGCTCCTCCACCCCACCTCAGCCACACACAAGAATGGTCATATTCTTGATCTTGCCGTTATCAAAATGCACCATTTCCATGTTCATGAACTCCGAAATTCCCTTATCTGATCATGATCAATTAATTCTTCCACTGTCTTTCAATACCAAACCCTTCTCTTTGTCCACACCGTGACCAACAATCCCTTGACCCTTTGGTTCTCTACCAGGCCCCCAGGCCAGCACTGTACT